AATTTTAATTCCATACTGCACCAAACAATATCAAATCGCTTCAATAATTTATGTGATTGGCACAACTCCCAAAACAACTACACCCATCTGGTGTCAAAGCAAGGTTGATACATACAGTCTATGTATATTGCATGCCTAGGGCTTGCACTATTCATTTTTAGTCTCCCTCTTCAAGGTTCTCCACATCCCTATCTGATCCGTATCAGTAACTTTGCATGTTTCCAATAAAAATTTTAAATGAAAACTGGGTATGTTTGAGTGTTGTGCACTTTTTCTCTCTGGTGCTCTTGATCACGTCAACTGATATCCTAGAGACACACATTCCACAATCTTGTAGCACATTTACTGGGAATGATTTTTTAACCTTAAATGTTAAAAACCAAGTCAACTAATTGTGCTTGCGATTCTACTCAGTGTAAATGAAGTATGGACTCTCTTGGGAGCAGTGATACTCAACAAATCAGGGCAATATTTTGGCTAAATGTGACCTTAAGGTAGGGCATTTGATATACTGTATATTTAAGTCCTGTGTAAATCAGATTTCTACAGCTCTGTTTAATTCCAAGGCCCTAATGCACTGCCCTGGGCGGAGTGAAACCTTGGGCAAGTCTCTTTACTCCACACTCCTCTGTTTACCTAGCAGTAAGCGGGGATCTGGTAGTCGATTGGCAAATCTAATCGCTCCCCCCAAAAATGCAGTCATTCAATCCACGATTGTTTATGGGACACTGCTGTGCACAATTGGCTGCTGCTTTTTGCCAACAAAACACAGTCAATGCACTTTACAGTATATTCTGTGAAAGCGCTTTGAGAAGTCTCAACGATGTGATAAGGCGATGGGATAAGGATTAGAGATTGGGATCTCTGCAATCACTCTACCTCTGCGATCTCCTGCAGTTCTACTGCCTTCAGACATCTTTCTCTCTCGCCCCCCCCCCCGCCCCTTTGCATCTGCCTCCCAGCTTGGGGTCCTTATTGCCTGTTTTTAAAGCTCTTTGAGATGTTCTACTTACTTGAAAACTAATACCCAATGGCTACATTGCCGTTAATAGAGTAGAAATGGTTGTTGATTAGTTAGATTATATACTTTCATCACTATATTCCACTCAAATCAGCATTCTTAAACAAGAAGTTGAATACTTCTCTAGAAACTTGGTACTCCTGTTATATGCCTATCCATGTTAACTGCCACTTGATGTGGATTTCAGAGCAGTTGTTTGCTTAAAGGGTTTATAATGTTGATGTGAGTGTACTGTTCTGTTTAACTTTAACCATTGTGTTTGGAGTTTAATTTAAATACAGTGCTACACTTAATGTACCTACAATGCTGCATTTATTGTGAAACACTTTAGGCATACAGCCAGACTTGTGTTTTTTCTGAAGATTGTTGTGTGTGTCCAGAGCAATGTTTCAGGCTTTAATCAAAGGTTTAGAGCAGAGCGGACTGTCCACTGGAGTCATTCATTATGCTGGGGGAGGGGGAGCTGCAACAAATCATAGAATTATACAGCACAGAAGGTGGCCATTCGGCTGATGGTGTCTCTGCCGGCTCTTTGAAAAGAGCTTCCAAATCAATCCCACTCTCCCGTTCGCGCCCCATAGCCCTGCAAACTTGTCCTTCCCAAATAATTATCTACTTCTTTCTTAAAAGTTATTATCGATTCGGCTTCCACTACCCTTTTAGGCAATGCATTTCCAGATCCAAACAACTCACCATGTGAAATGTTTGCAAACCACGGACACTAATGAACTCGCTTCTCACTGCTTTTATCAGTCAACTCGACTCCAAGATTAATCTGACCAGGGGAATTTGGGATGGTAAACAAAAGCTACAACACATGGTTTCAGGAATATGAGTTTCTCTCTCCCAGTTTCCTGGTCAACAATTTCCCCAGACAAAATTGGTCATTTTTGGCTGCTTGTGGAAATTTGCTGTGCACAAATTGGCTGCCCTGTTCGCTCACCTACAGATAGTCACAACATCTCACAGGAGAAATTCTACGAAGTGCTTTTAAAGGGAAATTATTATAGCATTATCAGTGAGCATGAGCATGGTAGCATTTTAACTACATACTACACAACAGCCTTTGTGAATTAACGTTGGCTAAGTCCGTATGAAAGGACTTACTCTTCCTAATTCCTCTGATGTGTCAGATACAAGGCTCTGTGAAAACAGGCCACGGCAGTTGTCGAGATAGCAGCTTATTTCTGTCTATAGATGCTGATAAATGACGGCTGAGAATGCAGTGCAATTGCAGTGACCTGCAGCTGTTGCACGCCTGTAACTGCAATCTGGAGAGACACTGAGAAGATTGCTAATCAAAATACACTGCCTTTTTCCTTGCAAAATAAGAAATACAAGAACGCAAACGGTGGAATGAGCAAAAAGCCATTTGCCCATTAAGCCTGATCTGTTCATACTTATTATAATAATAATCCTTACATTTGATATAAGGCCTTATCACGTCATTGAGACAACAACAACAACAAGATTCCATTTATAAAGCGCCTTTCACGTCAGGAGGACGTCCCAAGGCGCTGCACAGTTGGGTCAGGACGTTGCAAAGCTCTTCACAGAATGTACTGTAAAGTGGATTGACTGTATATTTTATACATATTATTCAATGCTTGTTGTCCTCCAGCCTTTTTATTTCTATCTGACCTGTGACCTGTTCTCTTCTCCTGCCCCCCCCCACCAACAGCAGAGGATCCATGACTAGTGGAGTATTTTGTCTCTTTTTTGTTCTCTGTTCAAAGCATAGCTATGACTCTTTTCCGTTTACTTGAGTCAGTCCTGTAAGTCACCTGCCTGTGAAATAATTTTTAAAGATCCCAAGCTTTCTCCCTCTATCTCTTCCCCCCCCCCCCCCCAAGAGAACGAATATGTGGTTGTGCATGTCACTAGATGCTGTTTTGCAAGTGGTCACAGTGAAAGCTTTCTAACTTGGCTTCTACGGTGCTTTTCATTTAGGATCACATCTCAAAGCACTTGACTGAGACGGAGGCGAAACCTGAAGGGGTGGAGCAAGTTGGCCAAAGGTGTAGACCTTTTAGAAAGGTTTTGAAAATAATTAGGGAAAGGTAGAGAGCAATCCAGAGAACGAGGGCTCGTGGTCCAGGCCTCAAAGGTGGAGTAAATAAAGTGATTGGGGAATGAGACTACTGGAGATTTCAAAAGTGAAGCGAGGCAAGAGCAGGAAGTCAGAGCTGCAAGTGAATTCAACTATTTACTTTCAGGGTGGCAACCAGAGTGAGAGAAGAAAGTACTGGTTCAGGATTGATTTAGGAATCTGTTCTGAAAGGCTGAATCAAAAACGGACTATTTTCTTCAAATACAATAGAACACTAAATTCTTGTCCTTGCGTACATGCAGTGTAATAACGCTTGATCACTTGTTAAATATACATGGCGCCTCTATTTTGTACAGTGGTTCAGAAGTAAATTGTGCAATTCTAACGCCGCTATATTTTTGTTGACCTATTCAATGCCCAGGCCATTTGCTGTTTAAAAGTTGTGTCAGAATTTGTATTTGGCCCACTCTTTTGAATTTAAGTAAAATGTCTAAAAATGGAATATTCCATAATGATCCTTGCATTTGATATAGTGCCTTATCACATCTTCAAGATGTCTCAAAGCGCTTCACAGAATATACTGTAAAGTGAATTGACTACATTTTGTGGGCGAAACACAGCAGCCAATTGCGCACAGCAGTGCCCCACAAACAATCATTGATTGAGTGACCAAATTATTATTATTATTATTTTTGGAGGGTTTATTACCCCCAGAAAACCGATCCACCAATCGACTAACAACCAGGTTCCTACTTACTGCTAGGTAAACAGAGGCGTGTGGAGTGAGGAAACTTGCCTAAAGTTTCACCCTGCCCAGAATCGTGAGAATTTAATGAAGTAAATTGTGTGCAATTCCAATGTCAGTATATTTCTGTTGACCTATTCAATGCCCAGGCCATTTATAATTTGCAGAGGTGTCAGAATTTGTATTTGGTTCGCTCTTCTGAATTTCAGCTGAGAGACCTCTAAGTGAAATGCCTAAAAATTGAATATTCCATTCCCTTCAGTTATTTGGTACCGAAAGACTAAATCAGATATGAGATTGTAGGATTATTAAATAATCATAAAGAAACAGTCTGCCTATTAATTGTTCCAGTATCGTCATGCACACAGTACTATTGTCTGCATTTGAACTTGTGTATCACATAATACTTGCATTGCTTTCCCTTCATACATTCACTATTGTAAAAGTATGGAGAAAAAGAATTGAAATTTCAATTCCACTATTGAATTATCTGGCACCACTGGAAAGTCAGTTACAGTATCTGAAATATTGCCCAACTCTCACGTACTTTATGAAATCTAGATCATGTGAGTTTTTTTTGATCAGCTGGGTATTTGGCACACATGGAAACCATCGCTATTCTTAAACGTAACCAAACTAGGAATTCCAGGCAGGCGTTTTACACATGGAAATTCCTGTTTAGAATGGAATGCACACTCTGTCCCTGGAGGGATGTGTTCTTTTTTGCTAATTCCAGAGACGGAGGTACTATTACCAAATGCAAGGTTATGTATTTAAATAGAAATCAGAAAGGATTTTTTTTTGTGATTCTAGTCAAAATGTGTAAATTGAATGGAAAGATCTGATTAAATCTTAAAATCTGGGCAAATTGCTACAGGCAAGCACTGGCGTTACAGGAAAACAGTCAATCCTTAAGTAAGCATTGTGACATGTATATATATATTTTCATTCAAATAATGGAACTTATCTACCACTCAGTTTTGCTTTATAACCATGGGTTATAATCATAAATCTGTGGTTTATTCAGAATGTTGGATCCCATAAAACGAAGGCAGATTTGTGTACAATTGTAGTGAGAATCATCAAGGTTGAATTAATCTTAAAGTGGAATAGGCACCACTTGCCAAATTGTATTACAATAGGATTTTATTTTGTGTAAAACCTTTTTTTTCTTCATTTCACAGGTCCCATGATGTGGTGGTATTATTCAGAGCAAAGTAGTAATGATTAAATTGGACCATAGAAAATGAGGACTGGACTGGATGTGGGCTCTATCCTTTTTGGTTTTCACATAGCTTGTTCTGTTCCTGTGGATAAGAGAACTGGGATGCACTGTCTTCTGAAGAAAGTTATGGGCGCTGCTCAAAATTCCCTTGCTGTGTAATGTTTCAAGTTTTGTATCTACATCGAGGAAGTTGACCGTATTTGCTGCACAACAGTAGATCAGTGTTAGCTATGCAAAATATTACCAAGGTTTCTGGACATAAGTTATGCTTGTTTTCTTTGGCTTTCTGAAGCATAACCTTGCAGGATGATGCCTGTGTACAGAAGAGGTAGGAAACGACAGTTTGTACAATTGGTTGCCACTTGTTTTCTCTTCTCTCTCGTCCTGATCTACTGGGAACAACTGGATGCCAATGTGGTGAGCCACGTTAAGTCTTACTCGTACAGGTACCTTATCAATCAGTATGGATTTCTGAATGACAGCCTGACTCTCGACAGGGAAATAGCGGCTAACCTTTACGGCTTCCAATACTTAATGAACCACGAGGACAAATGTCACGGGCAGGAGGTTTTGCTTCTTCTGTTTGTGAAGAGCTCTCCTGAAAACCGGTTGAGGCGTGATTCTATCCGGGAGACTTGGGGGAATGAGTATTACATCTATTCTACCTTGAAAGCCACTATAAAAGTGATTTTTGTCTTGGGCGTGGACAAAAATGTTCATCGGAGGCATCTTACGCAGCAAGAATTAATGCTGGAGAACCGTCAATACGCGGACCTCATCCAGCAAGACTTCTATGATGACTTTCATAACCTGACCCTGAAGTTAATCTTCCAGTTCAAGTGGGCGAACACTTATTGCCAAAACGCCAAGTTTGTCATGTCATCGGATGATGATGTCTTTGTGCACACCCCGAATCTCGTGACCTACCTGCAGGAGCTGAACAGAAAGGGGATCTCTGATTTCTGGATAGGTCGAGTGCATCGAGGGGCTCCCCCTGTGAGGAGCAAGGCAAGCAAGTACTACGTGTCCTATGAAATGTACCAGTGGCCGGCTTATCCAGACTACACCGCAGGTGCCGCTTACGTGGTGTCCCAGGATGTGGCGGTGAAAATCTACGAGGCCTTAATGACGCTGAACAGCAGTCTTTATATAGATGACGTTTTTATGGGCATGTGTGCAAAGAAGATGGGAGTTTCACCACAATACCATGCCTTCTTTGCCGGAGAGGGAAAGGCCCCTTATCATCCTTGCATTTATGAGAAAATGATGACCTCACATGGCCACGTGAATGACATCCATCACTTGTGGCGAGAGGCCACAGACCCCAAAGTAAGCTATCTCACTACTGGAGTCTGGGGGAAGCTTTATTGTCGGCTGGTCAAAATATTTCTTCTCTGCAAACCCTACTATTTGGACACTTACCCCTGTGTTTCGGCCTTTTCCTAGTAACCTATATGAAGAATTCTGATAGCACTGATTTACCTTGTGTGTTTTTTGGGAGGGCAAGATACCAAAGTAGCGTCCCACAGTAAGTTAACGTTTGCAAGTACTCTTCTTAGACCTATGCTATTTTTTTTGCCCAACCTGATGTATAATTTATATTTTTAAAAACTCCCAATGTGTAGCCACTTGAGTGCTTACTGAGTTGAAAATGAATGGATGCAGGGATTCAATTCTCAGGCAGAGAGGAGGGTATGTGCCCTTGATTTTCTCAAGAGCCTGGTCCAAATCTGGTGGCAGCTTGTGCGAGGACAGCTCCAATACGTATCAGCTGGGTTCTCATAAGGAATGTCAGAAAGGTGGTGAAAATGGTGAGCAGCAAGAGCATCTAGGAAGGCTTGAGGGCATCTCAGGGCCATCATACCAGTCAGTCCCTGGTTATTCTGCCATGAAACATTTCATCACCCACTCTGCAAACTCTTGAAATTGTGCACAGGGCCTATTCACCGGAATTAGTTCACCTGGAATTGATTCCATTGACCAATTTTGACCCAAACTTGAGGCAAAGCTAGGGTCGTTCAGGTCGCATCTCGTGCCTAGCAATGTGTGCATTTATTCTGACATTTGTATCATTAACTCTTGCTCCCACGCACAACTGTAAAGTGCTTTTTATGGGAGTGAAACCCCTGCACAGGATTTGGTAATTTCCAGTCTATTCAGTACTCTTGGTGCTACACAGATTTCAGATGCAGTGACTAATAGTTGAAACTAAAATGGGAACCTATGAAATTAGTTTACAGGAGTGAGAAGTTTGTTGTTTTTTTTAAAAAAAAGTCCTCAAACTGAATAATGCATTGCCATCTGTTTACTTGTGTAAAATTTCAGTATAGTTTAGACTTTTTGAAAGGATAAATTCTATGGCGGATGTAGAAATGATGACTCCCGCACTCAGTTGTGGCTAGTGCATTTCATGTGTGCTAAGCTTTTCTATACATTACATTGTACATGCTATACAGTAGTTGCATTTAGAATGCAGTGTACTAATGATGCGACTAACTAGGTAGATAACCACACCTTCCACCTCGTTACCTCCCACTCCATCCTCTCTCTAGTTTATAACTTAGAGCTAGCAATTGGATAGTTAGCTGAGGTAGAAAGAGTTTGATGGTATAAGCTTAAAGCTAGTTTCTAACTTGAGGGAGGAGAAAGTGTGTGATCTTGGTTAACCTTTACTACAAATAACTACTGGATACTCCCCTTTTTTTTGTCTTGTTTCACATGATCAGGTTTTCGATGTTTGAAATCGGAGCCACTGTTGAAATTTGGGTGAATGTGGATTTATAGACCAATAATTAGCAGCTATGTTGCTATAAATTAGCTTCCACAATATATCTTCATCCAAATGAGCAAGGCAATTAATGCATGGTGAGGGGGAGAACAGGGAAAGAAAGGAGGGAGTAAACGGCAAGAACGCTCATCTCTGTGTGTCTTATCCAGTACCCCAACTGCTGAGAAGAGGGCATTTGAAGTGATGGGAAGCCTGGGGTGTTGGTTGTAAACATTTGGCCTGATGTAGAGGCAGCTGTAAATTGTCAACTTGATGTTTGGCTTTTCCATAAGTTTAGACGTTGAGGTACTCTGTCTTAATAATCCGTTACTTTAAAGAGAAGCTAATTTTTTAATGCATTGTACACATAATTTTCTTGATTATTCATGGTGAGCTGTATGGATGAAAGCTTTTCATTGATGGTTGATCAAAGCAAGTGTCTGTTAAAAGATCAAATGTTATATACTGGCCGATGATGAACCCAACTCCGTTTTGTACAGAAATGTAGAACTGAAAACCTGAGTGTTGCCTTCATATCTGCCAAATTGTACAATTGTGACCCATCAAACCTTCTGTTTGTTGTGAGCTCAGCTGTGGTGATGCCCATGTTAAACTCTCAGCCTTCACTAACATTTGGTTGCTTTGCATTTTGTTTGAAAGTTATCATTTTGCTCTGGATCTATTTATTACAGGCAATCTTGGCCACCTGACCCTGCGGCCAAACCTTGGTGATGAAGGACATTTTCTTTTTGAGTGGTCTTGTAAATAAAACCACAAACCTTCACTGCACAAACTCTTCCCTTTACCAGTCCATGTCTACAAATACACTTCAGCGTTTTTAGATAAATTTGTGAATTGTTTCTATAAAAGAACGTAACTTCTATTGGCAGGCTGAATCGGAACTGAAACTAATGGGTGGGCTTTTTTTTATATTTAACCTCCAGTGACGTATCAACACTTTTTCTTTGGAGGTAGGGGTGTTTACAAAGATGTTCTTTCATCTAGGGCCTCAGTTAGTATTCAGCCCAGACTAAGTAATGCGAACAGCATTCCTTTCCTGTTCAGGCATTGGGCACATTGAAAATTGGTTTGGGTAGACGAGAGAGAGAACAAGAGAGGGGCCCACATAGCACAAACTTAATTTTGCACCTGTTGCCATTCGCACTCCTGTGTCCACAGAGATGGCTAGTGTGGGAAGGGGAAATTCTCAATGTCTGGATGCACTTCTGAGATTGAGGTGATGTGAACAGGAGCTTTACTCCGCACTTGTCCGTGGCACACGTGATGTTAATGACCAGAAGTGGGAAAGCGTCCCATTACCTCAGCACTGACCTCTCAATCATTCTTTAAACTCCCTATAACAGGAACAGAAGTTGAAAGGAAACCACGGTTGTTTTTAATTCATTTTTAACGCACGTATTTTGATAATTTATTTTGGCTACAATAGATTTATTTTCCTGCACTGGACCGAATCAATCTGTTCAATGCATATCAACTAAACAGTTTGCCACATTTTCCAATATCCCAACATTAGCACATTCTAACGTGATTTTAGCAGTTTGATTTTTTTTTGTTCTGTATTCACCAATATACATTTTATTGGGTTACTTTTTTTCTCTCTCCCTTACGTGCAGAAACTGTTGACCAAAGTTAGAAAGCTGTTCCAGCAAAAACAAATACCAAAGCCATGGGCAATCTGAAACGGATACACAAAATACCAACACCTGAAAAACACTCCCAATAGTTCAGAACAATCTGTCGCTCTTCAAATAGCAATCCAGCAAATCTATAACAATGGGATGATGAGCGGGATGTTTCTGAACACAGTTTGTTGCTGCCGATCGCCAGAGAGCAGAGATTCACTGCTAATGAGAGAATACCGGCCCAACTTGGCCCATGTTGTGCAAGTGGCCTCGGGACCCGTTTCTCTGCACTTGGCAATGCACCTTTGGGTTCAACCATTGTGCCAAAGTTGTGGGGTGCCCCCCCACCCCCCCAACCAGTCACAAACTTGTTGACTGAAACTCCAAAAAATGGTGAAACGTCTCAATTTTGACCCCTCCTCCCCCACTCCCACTATACACATATATATATTATATACTTAACTACTGTAGATAGCTTATTTCTGGTGAATGACCATTATGTGTGACACTAGAATCCGGTAGCATTCTGCACAAATGCGGAAACGCTGGCTATAATATATCAATCGATACAGCACCTACCTCGTCCTACCTTTTTATTCGGTGGGTAGTTTTAAGTGCTTCAGGTCAGTGAATTGGAAATAGTTTAACGGTGTTCTGATTTTTACAGCCAAAGTATCTTCTACAAACCAAACCAGCACAAAAACAGGTCTGAAATGCAGTGGCACAATTATAGGCAGTGACCTTTTGAAAATGTGAATTTGACTTAATCTCTATGGAATTTTAGTGAGGAACTTCCAGGAACAAATTGTAACCTGCTTCCAGGTTTCTTTGAATTGAAATGAAAGAGGTTGAAGTTATTTTTGGTACATATATATATATATATATATACACATTATGCAGTATGTGTGTGTGTATATATATGTGTGTGTGTGTGTGTTATGCGTGTATTTCCAGCCTATTGCTTATTTTGCACCTGTTATTTTCTAGCTCACTAGAAAATTTATTTTTATATGTTGTGATGTTTTGAAATGTGAATTTTTTTCCCCCGTTTTTAAAATAAAATTAAAAAGTACTGCTATCATTGTTTTTCTCCTCTGGGGTAAATGTGAGTGTTGGGAATGGGTAACTAGAGTATATCTTACAAGATAATAATAATCCTTGCATTTGATATAGCATCTTATCACGTATTTGAGATGTCTCAAAGCATTTCACACAATATACTGAAAAGTGAATTGACTGTATATTTTGCGGGCAAAACGCAGCAGCCAATTGCGCACAGCAGTGTCCCACAAACAGTCGTGGATTAAGTGACCAATTTGAAGGATATTTTTTTGAAGGCATTACCCCCAGAAAAGCGATCTACCAATCAACTAACAACCGGGTTCCTACTTACTGCTAGGTAAACAGAGGCGTGTGGGGTATGGAAACGTGCCCAACATTTTACCCTGCCGGGAATCGAACCCGGATCTCTTGCTTGCGAGACAAGTGCTCTAACTGCTGAGCTGCAGGACTTCAAGATCTGAATACAGGTTCTTTCGAGCGGTTTGATTCTATGATTGCCTTGATCAGTTAGGGATGTACGTTTTCAATTCACCAGCTGCACAGCAGCATCTTTCACTTTGAAGAACATCTCAAAGCGCTTTAGAACGATGGAACAGAAGACCGAGCTGGGCTTGGGGGTGGGCAGGAAGTAGCTAAAGATGAGGTTAAATTTTAACAGGGGACTGGGACTGATTGGATAGCTCTTCCAAAGATGGGCTGAATGGCCTCCTTCTGTGCTGTAAAATTTTATGATTCTAAGCCATTGCAAACAGCTAAAATGTTGGGCTGCTTCATGCTGGTTAACCCAAGCAGCCACAAGAGTACAGGTTGTGGTATACAATAGACCTTTGTTTTGATGGTAAGGGTCATAAGCATTGGTGTCATATAGCACATCCTTCACTCCCTGTTCTTGGCAGTAGTTATGACTACACTATAACAATACTTGCATTTGATGTCGCACCTTTCAAGTCCTGAGGGTGTCTCAAAGCCCTTCTTCACATGTACCTTGTGTAGGCAAACATTGGAGCTAGCTTATGCACAGCAATGTCTCACAAACAGCCATGAAGTGAATAATTTTATTCGGGAGTCGGGGTGGGGCTTGGCAAGTACACAGGTCATGGGATCTTTGACATCCAGCTCAACAGATTGATGGGTTTAATGTGTCAATGGAAGGACTCACTTCATCTCTGCCAGTGCAGCACACACTCTAGCTTTGCTGTGCCAGCTGACATTGTACAAGCTCAGAGTCCCCACATGCAGCTTGAACCCACAACCTTTGCCTCTCAGGTATACTTACTATCAATTTGAGCTTAGCTTAAAATGATTCACAAATTCAAAGTACTATTGAGCTGTTTTTAAAATCTTAAGTGAGCAAGCCCTTAAACAAAGCTTACTCTGTGCTGCTCTGCCCAGTGTACATTCAGGTTGTTCATCAAAGGCAGATTTGTGTACAGTTTATTTATTTTTAAGTTAGTTGACCATATTTGCAAAGCCTCTCATTTCTATTTCGATGCAGTAACAGCACACTATCTGTTGATGGGAAGCTTTCAGAATTCCTCGGTTACATTAATACACGCTTTAAAAATCGTTATCATCACCTTCCTCAAATCATTAGACTGCAACTGTAGCCAGAAAATATACAAACATCCTTCCCCTTAAATAGTAAGTAGAGGTTACAAGACATCCTGGAGAATGGTGGCGATCTCTGGTTTAAATTGCTGACCTACCCCACTGAATCCATCCATCATAATGCAGCTGACTCTGTTTTAATGGTGAATTTCGTCCATAAACTCAGAGCCTGTGTTATCTCAGGACGCTCTTAAAAATGGCTACCACTGCCCACCACCCCCAGTTCACTGCCGTCAATTCTGATAAGCCTTGGATTATTCTGTCATAATAATCGTGATCTATGCAACAGTTAGCTCTAGAGTGAATTTGTGTTCTAAGTCCAAGTAGACCTACCCCACACCGAAGCACGTGATAACAGGGTCAACTATGCTCTGAAGAGGTTTGTTATTCAGTCATTAAATCACCGACATAAGTGAACCAGTGTCTTACCTTCTGCGGGTCGGTAGATTCTCTTCGCTTTCAACTGCGACTTGGATGTGACTGGACCCTCCCTGGCTGGCTTCATGCATCACTTCAATCTGTTGCAGAGAAAAGTTCACAATCTCATAAGTCTGCCTCAACTATCTTAACAAATAATCCCTGCATTTGATATAGCACCTTATCATGTCTTCGATACATCTCAAAGCGCTTCACAGAATATAATGTAAAGTGAATTGACTGTATATCCTATGGGTGAAACACTTGTACTGAGGAGTTTTAGACTTGCTGGGTGAGGACAATGCTCAAAGGTAATGGGGAACAAATGGGTATGGGGGAAGAGGGGGAGGAAGCGATTAAGTATAAACACCGGCATGGACTCATTGAGTCAAATTAGTTTTCCAAGCTGTAACGCTCAGTTTTGAGTCTGAAGAAGAATCACTATAAGAACTGCACCTTTGTAGCATAAAACTGGGAAAATTTACATTTTAATGAGCATTTTACTTATTTGTTGGTGTCCGTTACAGCAATTGAAAACAACAATAAATTACAATTGTACAGAGTCTTTCACGTTGGGAGGACTTCCCAAAGCACAGGACAGTCAAGGACGTGCACTCAAACTGGGGGTTGGGCTCAGGAAGATAGGGGTAGGAGGGTGACCAAAGGTGCGTTTGAAGATGGAAGTCTTGAGACGGGCCTTGAAGGAGTCAAGGAAGAGGGTGAGACGAAGGAGTGGGATGTGGGATGGAATTCCAAAGGTTGTGGGCAGAAAGGCTGAAGGCCCGACTGCCAAATGGTATGGTGGGTAGGGTAGAGGACCTGGAGCAGGCCAGAATCCTGGTCATTTCTGGAAAAGGTCAAGTCCCCAATCTTCCAATCTCTTCTCCCCCACACCCCACCCCTCTGTATTTTCATTGCAATTTTCTACAATCAAAACACTCTCCGACTCCACAACCTTTGTACCTCAGAACAAAATTGTGCCTTTTTTTTATAACTTGCTTCAGTCAAGCTAATAAAAAATGTCTTGGGTAAAATTTATTTTCAAAGACTTCCTTCCCTTTGCTCTCAAGCGAGTCAATCTCAGTTAATGTAAAATCGCTATTTACACTAACATAGAATAATAACGAGCCTTTCATGTCGGGAAGACGTGCCAAGGCGCTGGACAGTCAGGGATTTGGACCCGAACTGGGGGTTGGGATCAGGAGTGGTGGAGGGCAAGGAGGGTAGAGGTAAGAGGGTGTTTTAGAACATCCCACATGTTATTGGGTGCGAGTCAAAAATAGCAGTAATATGTTAATTTATTATCTCTTAGAGTATTATCCTCGCCCCCAATACATTACTCAGATAGGCGAGTCAGGCAGAGAGCAAACCACACTATCTCCGGATGGACTCCAAGGTCAAGTAAGCTAATAACAGGACCACAAAAGGAACTGACAGTGCCAAAGAAAGGGGAAGTGAAGTGCTGTGCCATCGAGATAAATCACATTGGTTTTATTTAAAACGGCTGCGCAGCAACAAGATCTTGAACAAACGTTTAGAGAGCATCAAAAGGGAAAAACGCACAGGAAAAAGGGGCAACACTTATGCAATATGCTGTTATCACTATAAAGTCCTGTAGCTCAGCGGTGAGAGCACTCGCTTTGCAAATGAGAGACCTGGGTTTGATTCCCAGTGGGGCGTAACCTTGGGCATGTTTCCTTACTCCACACGCCTGATAGTAATCCCTCAAGAAAAAATAAATAATGAATTGGTCGTTTCAATCCACGACTGTTTGTGGGACACTTGAGACGCTGCCGCATTTCGCCCACAAATATACAGTTAATTCACTTTACAGTCTATTCTGTGAAGCGCTTTGAGACGTCTAGAAGACATGAAATGCGCTATATAAAATGCAAGGATTATTATTATTATAAAGGATGAGTCCGGACTAGATTTGTCACAGAAATAGCAGCTCGAGGGAGAGAGAGAGGGAAAGCAGCTCTGAGTGGCATGTCAGGCTACTGTCTAGGCTCAAGAACCAGGTAATATGGTTTTGATTCTGTAAATTTTTGCTTAAGATACATGTTGTATTAATGATCCTGCTTATGTTACAATAAACCTTGATTACATTGGGGTTGTCAGGTCGTTCGTTGATTACGATATTTGAATCAGGGAAGCCTCCTCAAATACTAACAGGTGGCCAAATGCTCAGTCGAAGAGGAGGGTCTTGAGGCGTGTTTTATAGGAGGCAAGGGAGGGAGCAAGACCAAGGGACTGCTGGACGGAGTTCCACCAAGTGTGGGGGCAGAGGAGCTGAAGGCCCTACAGCAACCAGCAGTTTGCTCTACGCTAACAAGTTTCACTTTGAGCAAGGCTGGGATCAAAATAGCTGTAGCTCCTGGTGACCCCTTAGGAATCTGCCTTTGGGCATCCCTGTCCCGCGACGCTGATTTGAATCGCCATAGAGCAGAGGAATGGCTATCAGATATCCGATCAAAGCAACGTATCCACTTGATGCTATCTTTCTTTCTGTCCTTCTTTGAATCCTGCCTGAAAACCTATCTCTTTGACCGTGTCACCTCCCCTTTGCTTGGCGTCCAACCCCATGTTTGTGAAGCGCTCCAAGACTATATATAGTCACGTTATTGTAGAGACAATGTAAAACTTTCCAAAGGTATTGTTCAAGGTAAGTGAGCACTGACTGATGGTCTTACCTTTAAGTTTAAATTGTTTCCTTTGGGTTTTTTTGCGTTTCTTTTCTTTGCTAACTCTGTCTCGGCAGGAGGCTTTGAGATGACAATATTTTCTGAATGCCTTCGATTAGGAGCTGTAAAATAATAAACCGTGCGATGAACATTAACTGCCTGTAAAAGTGAAATTACATTAGTTATTGTAGAAGTACATAAAAAATGTGTTTTTTAAAAAATCTTTAGTAGTTTTTATTCATCGTTGACACTTCCATTTACATAGCAAATACTGACATTACCATTTAGTCTGAGAATTTGTAAATGATGTGCATATGTATGTGCAAGCGATTGCCAGGATGGTGGAAGGTGAACTAGATGGATCTTAGTCTTCTTTCCCCAAGCAATTTCTTATTTTCTTATGAAGGTAATAATAATAATCATCCTGCATTTGGTATTGCGCATTAACACGTCGTTGAGATGTCTCAAAAGCTCTTCACAGGATGTACAATAAAATGAATTGACTGTATTTTGTGGGCAAACAGTGCAGGAAATATTTTTTAAATTCACAGCAGCTAAAGGAAGCAGAGTCTTAAGTTTTTTAATATGATATGGCGTGATAAGTAATAATAATACTTGTATTTTGATACAGCATCTCATCACATCGTTGTGATGTCTCAAAGCGCTTCACACCGGTGTGTTTTGGAGGCGAACGCAGCAGCCAATTTTCAGCACAGCAACAAACAGCCATTCAGTGAATGACCAGTTGTATCTGGGGGAATTGATGGCCAGAACACCAGGAGAGAGAAACTCTTTTCAAATAGTGCCATGGGATCTTTAACACCTCGCTCCCCCAGCACTGAACTGCAATATCATTCACACTCAAGTCTAATCAAATGCTAGGATTATTATTATAGTCATAAGGCAATTTGGAGGTAACATTCTGTGTGTGTGAGTGTGTGTATTTTGCAGACTATAAATAGTTTGATTAAACTTTTGTAAAACTCGTGATCCTCTTTATGTTTTTTTAAAACACACACACACACACAGATTGTGCAAATAGTTGCTCCAAGACTGAGGCTGTTTTCATCCAGATCAGAGTGAGGGGCTGGCTGGGGAACACAAGCAGTAGTGTCCTGACAGCAGTTGCTGAGCTGGGAGAAACAGCACATGATTCAGGCCATCAGAAGCATAAGCAAAGCATCCACTTAGAAACAAAGGGGAAATGGAAAAGAATGTTGAATTAGTCAGCGTGATCCGGCCTGTTCCAATTCCCCCGGGCACCGCCTCATCATCGGCAGTCGGACCTTAAGCCTCTCTGCCTCTGCCCTTTGGAACTCCATCCCACAGTCCCTTCACCTTGCTCCCTCCCTTGCCTCCTTCAAGGCCCGTCTCAAGACCTTCTTCTTCGACCGTGACTTCGGCCACACAACCTCTGCCCCTCCACTCCTGCTGATCCCAACCTCCTGCTCAGGTCCAATTCCCTGACTGTTCAGCGCCTTGGGATATTCTCTCGATGTGAAAGGTGCTGTGTAAATGTAATTTGCTGTTGCTGATTGCACTGGGTGTTTGGCAAATGTTTATTTGTATATTTTAATATGTATATAAATATATATATATATATATATATTGGCTTTTGCCTACTTTGTTAGAAACAAGACGGCTTTCAGCTCCTTGGGTTTGTTCTGCCATTAGAACCCCTTTTCCAGTCCTTTTCTCCATATCTCTCAATTTACCCCTTCCCCGGTTATCCCTCATTCAGTCTCTGGGGAGAAATTCCACCCAGGTGTCGATTTACTCTGATTACTGCAATTACTGCTAGGTAAACACAGGAGTGTGGAGTAAAGAAACTTCCCTAACATTTTTCCCTGCCAGTAATACAACCCAGGTCTCTTGCTTGCAAGGCGATTGCACTGAGCTATAAACTTCCTGTTCTGATCTCATGGTCTAAATCCGGTCTCCAGCTGGCATATAACTGCATTTTACAGGAAAAACTCCTGTGAGAGGTGTGATGAGGTGCAGTATCAAATTATTATTATGGAGTGCTGTAACTTAGTGGTTAGAGCACTCGCCTTGCAAGCGAGAGGACCTGGGTTTGATTCCCTGGCAGTGCAAAATGTTGAGCAAGTTTCCTAGCAATAAGTTGTTAGTAGGTTGGCAGATTGCTTTTCCGGGGGTAATAATCCCTTCAAAAATAATAATAATAATTTGGTCACTCAATCCACAACTGTTTGTGGGACGCTGCTGTGTGCAATTGGCTGCCACGTTTCTTTCACAAAATATTCAGTCAATTCACTTTACAGTATATTCTGTGAAGCGCTTTGAGACGTATTGAAGACGTGATAAGACGCTATATCAAATGCAAGGATTATTATTCTATTATTAAATGCAATATTAGATAACTTTCAATGCCTCTCAAATTAATGACGAGCATTATACAAATAACAGTTTGAGTCAACAATAAAAGCAAACTTGATACAGATTGACTCATATTCCTATAGTGGAAGTACAAGACAAGTATGAATGGGATTTGTTGGTTGCTATGGTTAGTAATACTAATCTAATATCTGTGTGGACATCTGACCAGATCGTTCAATGTGAAAATTTGCTCCTGGAACAATTTATTTGTCCCATGGCATTCTCAAACCAATTTATACTCAGCTCGCGATGTTAAACTCGGGGCCGTGGATTAAAGCCAACTGTCGGAATGTACCCGTTTGCTTCTCCTTGTGTAACTCCCTTTGAACAGCCTTCCCGCACTCAAATCCATGTTTATATCTGGAATGAACTGCAAAATTGATAAGAAACGCTTTCTTGTTTCAGTTGCTTGGCTATCATGTGATTGCAACATCCCACAGGCAGAAACATCACTGTCAGCCTTGATTTACACTGGTTATCTGAATACACACCAAATCCACAAACTATACAGTCAATTCACTTTGCAGTATAGTCTGTGACACACTTTGAGACGTCTCAACATAAAGCGGTATGTCAAATGCAAGGGATTATTACCCCAGAAAGCGATCCGCCAATCGACTAACAATTGGGTTCCTACTTACTGTTAGGTATACTGTATTTACCTCCTGTTCTGGAACTCCCTGGATACTTTGAATTAGCCTGTGTGTGCGTGCGTGCGCGTGCGCCTGTGCATCTGCGTACAAGTCTACACGCGCATCTGCGTGCGCGTGTTTGTGTGCACGTGTCTGTGTGTGTGCATGTTTGTGTCTGTGCGTTTGTGTCTGTGTGTGTGCGCGCGCGTCTATGTGCGCATCTCTCTCTGTCCCTTTTAAGTAATCCAATCAATCCAAGCGGCACGGGGTTCTCAGGTGGTGCAGCCACAATCTCTGCCACACGTCCTAAAGGAAAGGCCTTGGTGTCTGGATTGGCTGTTGTGTGACTTACCGGGGCCTGGCATTCTGGCTGAATTGGAGACTGTGTGACTTACCGAGGCTTGGTGCTCTGGCTGGTTTGGGCGAGGACCTCTTTGGAGATGACTCTGGTCGGGGGGCGACGGGTTGAACTGGGCGGGTCTGTTTGGCCGCCAACTTCTTCAAACTAATTTGACGTTTCTCGATCATTTCTTGGATGTCTTCGAGCTTCTGAAGACCTCTCTGGACGTTGGCCTGAAGCAGAGATTGGGGATAATTTCAGAGAATATATTTTAATAATAATAATAACAATTTCAGAGAAGCTCCCCAGATGGGGCGCATTATCAGATGACGCCAATCTCACGGATCCACAATATAGTTTACGTTTACACACTTCTGGGCAAAACCCTTCCTGGCAAAACGAGGGAATAGATTTGATGACCAACAACAACAACTTGATTTATATAGCGCCCCTCATGTAGGGTAGTGTCGCAGAGCGCTTGACAGTGGCGGAGCATGATGCCGAGATGGGGGGAGGTGACCTTAGGTACGGTCGAAAAGGAAGGTCTTCAGGTGTGACCTGCAGATGGGGACGGAAGGGGCGAGGCAGAGGAAGAGTGTAGAGAAGAGACACCAGCGCAGAGCTGATGGGCTAAATGGCCTGTCTCTGTGCTGCAATATTTGGTGATGCTGTAAGTCCACCAATGGCACATCCAGCCTTTGGGACCCCAAGTGGTTCCTGTCATCCCCCTGCCCCACCCCACCCACCACTGAAATCTCATACCATTGTAACCTCTGTCCAGCAGACTGACCCTGACCAGGTGACCACATTGTTTTACCTTCACAGACATGAGAAAGAATTCCAGTTCGAATTGTTGGTAGAACTCGTTGAGCTTGGTCAGCTGGTGGTCACTGGCCGTCTCAAGGAAGTTCTCGATGTCCTGGAGAGCAGCCTCAGCACCCTCTTGTGACTGGCACTTGTCAACTGCCTGAGAGGCCAGGAGATAGATCCCCGCTTCACACCACTGGCTGACCTTTGGAAACGCAATACGATAATAATAATCCTTCCTACAACAACAACTTGCATTTTATATCGAGTCCATAACACAGGGCAGCGTCCCAGAGCGCTTGACCGTGGCGGAGCACGACGCTGAACCGGTGGGACAGACGAGGTGACTGGAGGCACGGTGGAAGAGGAAGGTCTTCAGGCGCGACCTGAAGATGGGGAAGGAAGGGACAAGGCGGAGGGATTGAGGGAGAGAGTTCCAGAGTTTTGTAGGATGGAGGCTGAAAGCCCTGCCTGCCGATGATGGAATGGAGGGGCACAAGTGACAACCAGGAGGGCGGAGACAGTGGAGCCTGATAAGAACTGGTGTGATAGGGGTACGGAGTTTAGTGAGGGTGTGTAAGCGGGCGCAGAGTTCTGGGTTAACTGGACGTTGTGGATAGTGGAGAGACTGGCGAGGAGGGTATTGGGGTAGTGATGGCCAATGCAGAGAGACGAATGGCATTGATCGGCTAAATTGCCTGAAGCTAAACCCAGCTACCTTGTCCAGGCACGTGTGGACCTCAAGGGATTTGCTGAGCGTGCCCTGCCTTTTCTTCACTTCGTTGCTGAAGTTGTCGCAGATGCGCCTGAGCTCGTTGCACTTTGGCCGAATGGAGTCCACAGCGTAGTGGTCGCTTTGGATCAGTTGGTCTCCATGCGAAGCCAATGACTGAGCCTTTTCCAACGACTCCTGCAAACCACAGAGCGATCTCAATTACGTACTATGAGTTCGAGTCCCACCAAACACACAACCTTCTGCTCACCCCACCCACCCAAGACGAGAGTAGTGTCTGTTGAGGCAAACTCGGCTCCTGTTAACTCTGCAAGCCAAGGTCCTAACAGGTAGAGTGATCATAGCTGGACCTAATGCAGTTATCCCAATGCACACTCCCCCCACGACTTGGCTCATGTCTATGAGACAGTCCATATACAGACAGAACTGGCCCATGCACAGGGGGAAGGAGTTGATGGCATGTAAAAGCCCACAGACCTGTGCTCTCTCCTCCTGCAGCGACACCTCCCTCAGAAGCTGCTCCACGCGGAGCACACTATCCCCAATGTCCGTGAGCGACATCTGCGATTCCATGAGAACGTCCAGAGTGGCTTTGACCTGTAACATAGGACAGTAACCTGTCACCTCGTCCTTAACGGGTTGCTACAGGAGGTCAGCAATGTCTAGGTGGCTCTAGATAGATATTTGTTAGGTCAGGGTATTAAGGGATATGGGGTAAGGCCGGGTAACTGGACTCGAGGTACAGATTAGCCGTGATCTTATAGAATGGCGGAACAGGCTCGACGGGCTGTACAGCCTACTCCTGTTTCTATGTTTCTTCTGATGCATCAATTCAAAAGAGCCGATGTTCTACTTCACCCAGTCTTAGTCCCAGACCCGTTTTGCTGTCGTTTTAGGCTTAGAACTACCCTTCGCTGTAAAGTATGGTGATTTACCGGGAAGTATAGCGACTGTGTATTTTTCTGGGTGAACTCGGCAGCCAATTTTGCGCACAGCAAAGTCCCACAAACAGCCGCGTGGTGGGGACTGACCAAATACATCTGAGCGATCGCCAGACAGGAAACCTGGAGATACAACAGCTTCTCTTCTCAAATAGTGTCGCAGGGATGAAGGATATTAATGATAATAATAAACCTTGCATTTGATACAGCTCCTTATCACGTCGCTGAGATGTCTCGAAGTGCTTCACTGAAAAGTGGAGTGACTGTGTATTTTGTGGGTGAAAAGCGGCAGCCAATTGCACACGGTACTGCCCCACAAACCATTCCTGGATTGAGTGACCACATTTTATTTTTTAAACTGGAAAATCCAGTTGATTTAATTGCATTAAATTGGTTTAACATTTCCCCTGAGGGGACAGTGCATCTAGCCATATAGCATTACCCCCCCCCAGCACTGCACAGGAGCATCAGCCTAGACTGAGCACAGCGTCTCGGACTCAAAAGCCCGAGGCAGCCTCACCCCACACCGTGACTCACCTCCCGAAAATCCTGCTCAAAGTGTCGCAACTGCAAGCACTGTTCCAGTTTAAGGTGATGTTTAGACCAAAACTGGTCAAAGGCATTCTCCGTTTCGTCCAGTTGAATCAGTAACCTAATGAGATAAAAGGATGAAGTGAGGTGGGGTTTTTTTGTATTAAAACATAACCATCGGCGATTTCTTGCCCAATGTTTCTCCCTGACGGGAAACAAACCCAAGTCCTCTCGCTTGCTAGGCGAGTGCTCTAATCACTAAGATACAGGACTCCACAATGTGCAGGAGATGTCATTAAAAATAATAATAAAAATCCTTGCATTTGATGTAGCGCCTTATTACGTCATCGAGACATCTCAAAGCACTTCATGGGATATACTGTAAAGTGGGTTGACTGTGTATTTTGTGATCCAACAAACAACCATGGAGTGAGTGACCAATTTATTATTTGGGGGTTTGTTGGCCAGGGACACCGCGAGAGAGAAACTCTCCTCTCTTTTCCAATAGTACCATTGGGATCTTTAACGTCCACCTGAACAGACAGACAGACAGGAGCTTGGTTTAATGTCTCATCCAAAACCACCAAAATACTGCAACCCTCACCCCTACCCCCACCACTGCACCTGAGCATCAGCCTAGAAGGTGAGCTTAAACACCCATGGATCTGGCCCAGAAGCTTGAGTTAAAGTTGTCACTAAAAGGCTTCCCTCAACTATTGATATCAATTAAAAGCACAGACGCATTACGAGGCACCGACCTTTCAGCAGTGCGGACATTTTCCTCTTCGTCGAAATTCAGCGTATAATTAAGGCTTTGAGTCGTCGGTTCCTTAATGCACATCAGGAGAGTTTTGCCTTCCTTCATCGCCAATCTCAGCTTCTCCTGAAGCAAACCCCCGAAAAACAATAAATAAAGTCTGCTTCATGTGAAATAGTAATAATAATAATCCTTGCATTCGATATAGCGCCTGATCAGGTTGTTGACACATCTCAAAGCGCTTCACAGAATATACTATAAAGTGGAGTGACTGTGTTGCGGTTTTTGACTGTATTTTGTGGGTGAAACACGGCAGCCAATTGCGCACAGCAGTGTCCCCCAAACAGCCGTGGATTGATAAAACACATCACGAGATGCTCGGAGATAACCTGTACCTTCAGATGGTTTTGTTTTTCAGTATGAGCGGTGAGCAGCTCCTGTGTGGACTGGATGTCATTGGGTAACTCCGTCTCAGCCAGGTCTGTGCCGAACGACTGCAACATCTGTGCCGTGGACTTCACTGTCAGGGCAAAGTTTTCAATTGCCTTGAAACGGGAGGAAGGAACGGAAATGCTAGATAAACGTAGTCCCCAATCACCGCTGCCAGCAACAGAGGGGAGGTTACATACAGATATTATGGCACAGAAACAGGCCATTCGGCCCAACTAGTCTGTATCAGGGTTTATACTCTATCCAATCCCCCATCTCTACCTATTCTGACATCCTTCTATTCCTTTCTTACTTGAGCATGGAGATTTGCTGGACTATGGTTTTGCGCAATCTAATAATAATAATTATAATAATATCATCTTATTACGTCGTCAAGGCATCTCAAAAGAGCTTCACAGGATACACTGTAAAGTGGTTTCTGACTGTGCATTTTGTGACGAAATTCGGCAGCAGTTTACGCACAGCAATGTCCCACAAACAGCCATGGAGTGAGTGACCGATTTTATTTTGAAGGATTGTTAGCCAGACCACCAGAAGGGAGAAAGTCTCTTCTTTTTAATCGAATAGCGACATTTGACATTCACCTGAGCCGGCAGATGGGACCTCGGTTTAACATCTCATCCGACAACGTACCCCCCAGCGCGGCATTGGACCGTTAGCTTAGACTGTGATTCCCGACGTGGGACTTGAACCTTCTGACTCAGAGGCCAAAGCATTACCACTGAGCCAGGCTGACACATGAGTTATAATATTATATAGAGTAATAGTATAATAATAATACTTTCATTTGATATCGCACCTTATCACGTCATTGAGACGTCTCAAAGCGCTTCACAGAATATACTGTGAATTGACTGTATATTTGTGGGCGAAACACGGCAGCCAATTGCGCACAGCAGCGTCCCTCAAACAGTTGTGGATTGAGTGACCAAATTATTATTGTTTTTTTTTCCCTGGAGGGATTATCATCAGGCATGTGGAGTGAGGAAACTTGCCTAAGGTTTCGTCCTACCGGGAATCGAAGCCAGCTCTCTCTCTTACGAAGTGAGTGCTCTAACCAACCACTGAGCTATTATATTATATAGAGTAATAATATATCATATTATATGGAGTAATAATAATAGTTAGGAGGGAGGAAGGGAGAGAGTGAGAGGGTTCCCAGACGATCGATACAATCCCACCATTGAAACATTTGTACTCACAGTTCGGTGATGAATCCATTCACTGTGACAATATTCCAGGGTGCCATCCAGGTTTTTAGTCAGCTCGCTCTTCTGAATGTAGCTGAATAAATCCGACGCCGAGTTTAACATAATGATCTGAAACAGGAGCACAACAAGCAGAGGCTTTACACACTTCACTGCACTGCTGACACAAATCCATCAACATCTGACATTGTGTGTGTTCATTAATCCCTCCACTCACGTCTAAATGCTTTGAAGAGCCTAGTTTGCACATTGACCGCCCAACCCCTCCTTCCCCTCACCTGTGGTTATTAACATCAACAATATGTTACATTTACACAGCGCCTTTCACGTCAGGAGGACGTCCCAAGGTACTGAACAGTCAAGGAATTGGACCCAAACTGGGGATTGGGATCAGGAGGGATGGAGGGTAGGGGTAAGAGGGTGGCCAAAGACGTGGTCGAAGAGGAGGGTGAAGTCAGTCGAGTTAGAGAGAGGATGGAGACGCTTACCGGTACCTTCATTTTAAAGTCGTCACGAAAGGATTTGATGCCGAACTCGGCCATTTTTCTCTGGATGAAACGGGAAGGTCTGAGCACAAACACCAGCTGCAGGTTTCCTGGGAATGCTCCCTGGAGGCGGGAAGGAAAGGAGGCCGTGAAGCCAGGTCTGATAACATAGGCACACAGGAGAGGCCATTCAGCCCCTCGAGCCTGTTCCACCACAGTATCGTAGAATATTACAGCACAGAAGGAGGCCATTCGGCCCATCGTGCCTGCTCTTTGGAAGAGCTACCCAATCAGTCCCACTCCGCCACTCTTTCCCCAATAACCTTTCCTCTTCAAGTACTGATCTAATTCCCTTTTGAAAGTTGGTATTGAATCAACCTTTCAGGTAGTGCATTCCAGACCGTAACAACTCTCTGTGTAAATAAAATTCTCTTCATCTCCCTTCTATTAGGTCATTAGCTGATCTGTACCTCAACTCCATTTACCCTCCTATTCCCCATATCCCTTGATATCGGTATCTAATAAACAGCTATCACCTTCAGACTTGAAAATTCCAATCGCTCCAACATCCATACACTTTTGGGGGAGAGAATCCCAGATTTTCACACCCTTTTGTGGGCGAAACGTGGGAGCCGGTTGTGCACACCAATGTTCCACAAACAGCCACAAAGTGAATGACCAATATTATTTTGGGGATTGTTGGCCAGGACACCGGGAGAGAGAGAGAGAGAGAGAGGAACTCCCTTCTCTGCAAATAGTGCCATGAAATCTTTAACATCCACCTGAACAGGCAGACGGGGAACTCGGTTTACGTCTCATCCGAAGGACGGCACCTCCGACAATGCGACACCTCCCAGCGCTGTATTGGAGCACCAGCTTACTCTGTGTGATTCCAAGTCCCGACATGGGGGCTTGAACCCACAACCTTCTGACTCATGAGGCGAGAGAGCTACCACTGCGCCAGGCTGGGTTATGTCTGTATCGCAAACAGTACGTCTCCCTGTGAAACTAACCGCCTTTCACATGGCTCACTGTTCAGCGTAAACAAATCCCACGGAAACAAGACAGTCTGTTTATTCAAAGCTGCGCTGGCCACACTGATGAAGCCAAGGCTGCTACAAGGAACGCGTCTCTCCTGACCTGGCTCCGATTCAGGCCATAAACAAGGTGTTACCCACACTCTGGCTGCCTGATTTGTTTTGTGTACTGTCTTGTTCCCATTGCAAAAAAAATCCCAAAACATTTGCTAACTTCCACTTAATACTAATAATCTTTGCATTTGATGCAGCGCCTTATCACGTCTTCGAGACATCTCAAAGGGCTTCACAGAATATACTGCAACATGAATTGACTGTATATTTTGTGGGCGAAACGCAGCAGCCAATTGCGCACAGCAGCGTCCCACAAACAGTCATGGATTGAAGTGACCAAATTATTTATTATTATTTGAAGGGATTATTACCGCCGGAAAGTGATCCACCAATTGACTAACCACCAGGTTCCTACTCACTGCTGGGTAAACAGAGGCGTGTGGAGTAAGGAAACTTGCCCAACATTTCGCCCTGCGGGAATCGAACCCGAGTCCTCTCGCTTGGTCTAAGCCGACACTCCAATGCAGTGCATTGTTGGAGGTGTCGTCCTTCGGGTGAGACGTTAAACCGAGATCCCAGTCGGCTGCTTGTTTGGGTGGGTGTTAAAGATTCCAGGACACAATTCGAAAAGAGAGAAAGGAGTTTCTCTCCCAGTGTGTCCTGGCTGACAATCCCCTCGCTTCTCGCTTCTCAATCGAATGCAACTCTTTCGATCAATTCTCTTTTCAAAAACTGCTTCTGAAGAATCCAGAAATATTCTCGATTGTCGCTGGAAAATAAAATTCAGTGAAAAGGGAACAACTCCTTAGAAAGGAGAGACCAGAGACCAGCCCACTCACCGCTATCCTCGTTAGAGAAGCCTTGACCGAACTCCATTTGTCCCTCCTTCGGTCTATAATGATGATAAACCCAATGCTGGCAGAGTGCAGACTGCAACAGACAGTAAGACAACGCAAAGAATTCATCAATAACAAGTCTTTAACCACCACCTCCCCCTCCTCTCTTTCTGTCGTTGTCTTTAAATCCCACCTTAAAACCTACCTTTTCGATACTCCTGCCTATGTGAATGGCTGCTGTTTAAATGCAAATTGTTCTCTTTGAACTTCACATGAAACTCGCTTTCCGAGTCTCTTATACTCCTCGTTCTTGAAATTGATCCGATGGACCACACAACGTAAACGTACATTTATAATAATAATCATACTTGCATTTGGTATAGTGCCTTATAGATGTGGAGGGGTATGTGTGTGTGGGGGGGGGGGGGGGGGCTGTGTGGGGGGTCTGATGGAGTGAGGAGGGGTCAGCTTACCTGGGAATGCTGGTCAAATACGTCAAAACGTTTAAAAAGTCTTGGTCAGGCAGATCTGGGAAGGTGGAATACTCTGGGAAGGTGATGATGGGAGCTCCATCTTTGCTCCGCCCGCCTGCGTCAAAACAGCTCCAGTTATTAACAATAACAATAACGTCAATAATCCTTACGAAAAGAAAAAAAAAGAAAAACAACAATAATTTGGCCGCTCAATCCCCATTGTGTGCGGGGGACGCTGCTGTGCGCAATTGGCTGCCGCGTTTCGCCCGCAAAACATACAGTCGATCCACTTCACAGTATATTCTGCGAAGAGGTTTGAGACCGTCTCGAAGACGTGATAAGGCGCTATATCAAATGCAAGGATTATTATTATTATTACTACATTTGTTGCCTCGCCTTTCATGTCGGGAGGACATCCCAAAGCCCTTCACAGGATGATACTGTAAAGTGCAGCGTAGTTAAGATAAAAATACTTTACTTTTGAAAAAATATAGCACTTAGGATAAATTAGTGCAACGGAGGCTGAAAACAACAACAACTTGCATTTATACAGCGCTCTTAATGTCTCTGAGGGCTTCAGGGGGGGGGGGGGGGTGAGCTTCGGATGGTGGGGGAAGGGACGGTCAAAGAGTTAGGCCAGGTTTACAGACACAATAGAGAGAGGGCTACGGTGGGGTCCAAGAGGAAGGATGGGAGGGAGTTTAGGGGTGGAGTGACTTTTGACTTGGCGACAGTCATAAAAGTGTTGCCCTTCCCCCCAAAGGCACGCTTCTGGTTAGGAGATCCCTACAGATCTGTGCCTCATGTTGGAGGAGGGTGTGGAGGGAGGATGTGACTCAATTTTCTAGTGACACAGTCCCCATTGTGAACCTGTCTGAGAAATAACTCATGGGGTTTTTTTTAAACACAGAGTGGAGATGGAAGTTTGCCGCCTCCTTGTGATCACTAGTGGGAGGTGCAGCTCAGCCTTAGAATCATAGAATTATACAGCACACAAGGAGGCCATTCGGCCCATCGTGTCTGTACCCGCTCTTCGAAGAGAGCTTTTCCCAATCAATCCACTATCCCGCCCTCTCCCCATAGCCCTGCAAACTTGTCCTCCCCAAATAATTATCTATTTCTCTCTTAAAAAGTTGTTATTGAATCGGCTTCCGCCAGCCTTTCAGGCAATGCATTCCAGATCCCAACTCGCTGTGTCAAAACATTTTTCCTCACCTCCCCGCTGTTTCAGCAACTATTTTAAATGGGTGCCCTCGGGTTACTGACCCACCCACCAGTGGGAATAGTTTCTCCTTGTTCACCCTATCGAATCCCCTCATAATTTTGAAAATTTCTATTAAGTCTCCTCTTAACCTTCTCTGCTCCAAGGAGAATAATCCCAGCTTCTCTCGCCTCTCCTGATAACTGGAGGCCCTCATTCCTAGTACCATCCTGGTCAATCTCCTTTGCATCCTCTCCAATGCCTTGACATCCTTCTTAACGTGTGGTGCCCAGGACACAGTCTCTAGCTGAGCCCTAACAAGTGATTTATAAAGGTTCATCATAACTTCCTGACTTTTGTATTCTATGCCCTTATTTATGAAGCCCAGTATCCCATACCTGTCCTGCCATCTTTGAAGATTTACTTATATGAACCCCCAGATATCTCTGTTCCTTCACCCCCTTTAAGATTATACCATGTAGCTTATATTACCTCTCCTCATTCTTCCTCTCAAAATGCATCACTTCGCATTTCTCCACATTGAACTTCATCTGCCATCTGTCTGTCTGTGTTACCAGACTGTCTATGTCCATTTGCAGTCTGCTACTATCCTCCTCACGGTTTACTACTTTCCTTGCTTAGTATCATGTCCAAACTTAGAAATTGTACTCCCTGTAACCAAGTCCAGGTCATTTATATAGATCAAAAACAGCAGTGGTCCCAATACTGACCGCTGGGGGACATCACTGCACTCTTCCCTCCAGTCAGAAAAACAACCGTTCACCACCATTCTCTGCTCTCAGTCTCCCAGTCAGTTCTGTATTCGCTGCCACTGTCCCTTTAACACCCGGGACTTCTATTTTGCTTACAAATCTCTTATGTGGCACTTTATCAAATGCCTTTGGAAAATCCATACAAATTACATCAACTGCACTACCTTCATCCACCCTCTCAGTTACTTCATCAAAAAACTCTATCCGGTTTGTTAGACATGATTTGCCTTTAATAAACCCATGTTGGCTGTCCTTTATTAACCCATATTTTTCTAAGTGAAAATTTATTTTGTTCCGGATTATAGTTTCAAGAAGTTTCCCCACTACAGACGTTAGGCTGACTGGCCTGTAGTTCCTGGGTTTATCCATCTGCCCCTTCTTGTACAGGGGAGTAACATTTGCAACCCTCCAGTCCTCTGGCACCATCCCAGTGTCCAAGGAGGATTGAAAGAATGTGGCCAGAGCCTCCGTTATTTCCAGCCTTACTTCCCTCAGTAACCTGGGATGCATCCCGTCCGGACCTTATCTACCCTGAGCACCAACAATCTTTTTAGAACCACCTCTCGCTTTATTCTTATCGTATCCAATTTCTCTATCCTCTCCTCCGATGCTGTGGCATTGGCTGCATCCTCTTCTTTTGTGAAGACAGATGCAAAGTCCTCATTCAGTATGTCAGCCATGCCCTCTCAACAACAACAACGATTCCATTTATAGAGCGCCTTTCACGTCGGGAGGACGTCCCAAGCCGCTGTACAGTTGGGTCAGGACCCGAGCAGGGGAGAAATGGGGAGGGAAGGGAGGGAGCGAGGAGGGGGTAGAGAGTCGAGAGGGGAGCTGAAGGCACGGTCAAAGAGATCAGCCTTGAAGGAGGAAAGGGAGGAGGCGGCGAAGGCACTGGGGGATAGAGTTCCAGAGCCTCGGGGCTGAGAGGCTGAAGGCCCGGCCACCGATGGTAAGGCGGCTGGGGCGGGGAGTGTGGAGCAGACCGGAGCCAGAGGAACGGAGGGCACGGGCAGGTAAGTAGGGGGATAGTAGGTCAGAGAGGTAGGAGGGAGCAAGGCCGGGAATGGCCTTGTAGGTGAGGATGAGGATCCTCTGCCAATTAGGGACCAAAGAGGAAAGAGATTTCCTGTTTGATTCCTAATTGGACCCCCTCTACCTTTAACTAACCTTTTATTCTTTATATGCTTCTAAAATAAGGTTTCCCTTTTATGTTACCCACTAATCTTTTCTCATACAATCTCTTTGCCCCTCTTATTTCCTTTCTCAATTTTCCTCTGTACTTTCTATATTCTATTTGATTATCTTCTGTATTTTGCACCTGACATTTATCATAAGCCTCCTTTTTCTGTTTTATTTTAATCCCAATTTCCTTATTCATTCAGGGAGGTTTGGATGCCCTACTTTCCCATTTGTGGGAATGTATTTGTTCTGTCCCCGAACTATTTGCTCCTTGAAGGCTTCCCATTGCTCGTTAGCTGGTTTTACCTGACAATCTTTCTTTCCAGTCTACCTTGGCTCGGTCCCTTTTTAACTCATTGAAATTAGCTCTCTTCCAGTTGAGTATCTTCACATTTGATTGCTCCTTGTCCCTTTCCATAAGTACTCTGAACCGAATGATGTTGTGATCATTGTTGTCCAAATGCTCTCCTACTGAAACCTGCTCCACTTCATTCCCCAGAGCTAGATCCAGCACTGCTTCCTTCCTCGAACCATACTGATCCAGAAAGTTATCCTGCAAACTTTTCAGGAATCCTTCTCCCTCCTTGCCCTTTACACTGTTACTTTGCCAGTCTATGTTTAGGGTAATTGAAGTTCCTCATTATAATTACTTTTGCGTCTTTCTGAAATCTGCTTGCAGATTTGCTCGTCTGTCTCCTTCCCACTATTTGGTGGTCTATAGTATACACCTAACAGAGTAACAGCTCCTTTTCTGCTCCTTAACTCTAACCAAATAGATTCTGTTTTGGATCCTCTAACACATCATCCCTTTCCAGGGCAGTAACAATGTCTTTAATCAATATTGCCACCCACCCCCCGCTCCTTTTTTACCTTCTCTATCCCTCCTGAGTACATTGTAGCAAGGAATATTCAGCTCCCATTCCTGCTCTTATTTGAGCCAGGTCTCTTTGACTGCCACTACGTCATAACCCCATTTGGCAACTTGAGCCGCAGCTCACCAACCTTATTTGTCACACTCCATGCAGTTACACGCATGCACTCCAAGACCGACTGAGTCTGCTCTGCATTTCTCCCACCATCTAATCCCACCTTTTTCTGGATTACTCCTTATTGCATTGCTATTCATCTCTCCCAGTCCTCTATGTAATGTGCTTCTCCTCTCTGATGCTACATCCTGATTCCCTTCCCTCCTCGAAATTAGTTTGAACCCTTCCCCATAGCACTAGTTAACGTCCCTGTGAGAGCATTGGTCCCAGCCTTGTTCAGGTGTAACCCATCCACCTTGGACAGGTCCCACCTGCCCCAGAACTGGTCCCAATGATCCAGGAACCTGAAGTCATCCTTTCTGCACCATTTCTCCAGCCATGTGTTTGATCTTGCTGTTTTGATACTCACTTGCATGAGGCACTGGGAGTAATCCAGAGATCACCACCTTTGATGTCGTACTCTTTAGCTTTTTCCCTAGCTTCTGATACTCTCCCTGTAGGATCTCAGCCCTTTCTCATGGATCCTAACATGGTCTATGATTTCTGGATGTTGCCCTTCCCACTGTAGAACGTTTTGCACCTGTTCTGTGATGTCCTCAACCCTGGCACCAAGGAGGCAACATGCCATGTGAGAGTGACGGCTTTGGTTGCTGAAACGTCTATCTACTCTTTTCACCATTATGCCCCCAATAACAATTATCATTGTAATTACATTGTAAGTGTCATGGGCCCAATGACCTCCTTCTGCACTGCCCATCTCCATAGCTCTATGTTTTCAACAGTGTCTGGACTGAAGCTGAAGCTCACCATCACCGATTAAACTAAGGCATTAATATGGCAGATCCTCGGAGGATCATGGAGCACTTTTGACTCAATGTGTCTGTGCTGGAGCTCTCTACTCTAATCCCTGCTCTCTCCCAATCATGTCTGTGCTGGTGCTCGTTCCCCCACTGGAGCTCTCTATTCTAGGGTGACCAGATGTCCCCTATTTCCAGGCATAGGCTCTGCATGAGATACTGTGTTCCTGGGGCCAAGTTTGCCCTGTCTTGAGGTCAGCAAAAAACTGAGCAAGAACAATTACATTCTAAAACAGATACGCTCATCAGAGAAACACAGCCATTAATACAACATGCTTCTCTGGTACTGCCAGCATCGGCAATTGTGGTGAGTTCAATTTTTTTAATATATGTGTGTCCCTGGATTTGGTTTCCAAAAGATGGTCACCTTATTCTGCTCAAGAGAAAAGCCTTCGCTTCCTCCAACCAACCAACCAACCGGGTGTACCTCGCCCACCCTCTTCTTTGACTGTGCTTTTGGCCACACTCCTAACCTCCCTGTCCTCCACAATCGCTGATCCCAACCCCTCCCAGCTCAGGTCCAAATCCCAGACTGTCCAGTGCCTTGAGATGTCCTCTCGACGTGAAAGGCCTGTGTAAATGTCATCTTGAATTGTATTTGATTTTCAGCGCCTGAAAATGTCCAAAACAAGCCTCTCGCAGCGTTTTCCAGAGACTATCTACCCAGTGTAGTGACTGTGTTTTGAGAGAAGGGGAGGGAGCAGGGCAGCTGATCCTCAGAACAGCAGCAGCAGCGACAGGCGTCAGGCAGGATAGCGCCTCGAAGCGAGCGAGGGATAGAGAAGGCTTCTCGTCCTCCTACCTGATAAGATGGCGAACTGTTTCTGTAGCTGTTCAATGATGTCAACTGCAAGCAGTGGGCGTATCTCCTGCTGCATGATTTCATCTGCGGAGAAGGAGCAGAAACAGCCTTGGCTGAGTCAAGAGAACAATACCACCAACCACAACAACGCACGACACTTACACAGTACCTTTCACATCGGGGGACGTCCCAAAGTGCTGGACAGTCAGAAATTTGGACCCGCGCTGGGGTTTGGGACCTGGAGGGCGGGGAGGGTGGGGGTTGGGATCTGGAGGGCAGGAAGGGTGGGGGGTTGGGATCTGGAAGGCGGGGAGGGTGGGGGATTGGGAGCAGGAGGGGTGGAGGGCTGGGGTAGAAGGGTGACCGAAGTCGGAGAGGAAGGTCTTGAGACGGACCTTGACAGAGGTTAGGGAGGGGGGCAAGGCAAAGCGGCTGTGAGATGAAGTTCTGACCGCCGATAGTAGGGTGGGCCAGGCCGGGCGGGGGACGTGGAGCTGGGTTAGACAATAAATGCTTGTGAAAAATCATCAGCATTTACTGTCTCGGCTTCAGTCATAAGACTTTGTCTGCTCACTCCCCAACCTCATGATGGGGATTTTTTTGTGGGAGGGGGCGGGGGGGGGTGTGGAGATTCTCCCTGTATCTTGCTCAGTGTCCACTGTCGTCCATGTGAAAAGGAGAAGTTGAGAGAAGAGCGGGTTAGTAATAAAGCCACAGATTAAATGTTATTCTGTTGTCAAAACTGTGCACCACAGATTGAAATAAATTTTCTCTCCCCCTCCCCCCACATACCATATACACACACTATATACACGCACCATAGACACATACATACACATATACACATGCACTCACATACACACACATATGCATACAAAGCATCTTTTCATAAACTGCTGCTAGAAAATAGACTTATTTTTACTTGTCTTTTCCAATGGGACTTTTAGTTCAATATTTTGCCCTAAGACAAGTTTCACAGATTTCTCTCTCTCGTTTTCTCTCTCCTCTTTCTCTCTTTCATTCTCTCGTTTTTTTCTCTCTTTCTATTTCTCTTTCTTTTTTCTATTTCTCTCTCTTTCTGTCTCTCGCCCTAATGATAGAATAACGATAATAATTCTTGCATTTGATGTAGCATCTCATCCCATCCCCACAAACTGCCGTTGGTGGGAACAGATAGGGCAGTAGGGGGGGGGGGAGGTGGAGGGAGTAGGGGAGGAGGTGGAGATTTGGGGTGGGGGCTGGGGGGGAGTCAGGGGGAAGTGGGGGGAGGACATGAAGCAGGCCGTTGTTCACAGAGAAATGGATTTGCTCCAGTCACAATGGAATCACATAGTCTTAACACATCGGGACATGGAAGCACACAGTCTAAGCTGACTCTCCAATGCAGTGCTGGGGGTGGTGTCAGAGGTGCCGTCCTACAGATGAGATGGTCCTATCTGCCTGTTCAGGTGGATGTTAAAGATCCCGCAGTGCTATTCAAATAGAGGAGTTTCTCTTTCCCGGAGTCCCTGGCTAACAATCCCCCAAATAAAATTGCTCACTCACTGCTGTGTGCAAATTGGCTACCACATCTCGCTCACAAAATACAGTTACTCCACTTTACAGTATATCCCGTGAAGCGCTTTAAGACATCTCGACGACATGATAAGGCGTTATATCAAATGCAAGGATTATTATTTCATTTGAATTTCATAATTATTCTGTGCAAATGTTTATTATTATTATTATTCACAGTTGAAGTTGCCAAGAATTCAAGCGCAATGAATGTAATTAGTGCATCTTGTTAAACTGATAAAAGCTCTGGGTGTTTGTCTGCGTTTCTCTTTTTTTTAATTAAAGAAAAGGTTTCACTAAGTGTGAGGTCGTAAGATATTAATTCCTTTTGTGGAAGGAAATTGACGGCTTGAAATGTAATGGGGATGGGGGGAAAACCTCAATGCGTTTCCGTACGCATTAACCGCAGCAGATGCTGAGTGAACAAGAGGCAAACATTTAGTGATAATAATCCTTGTATTTGTTATAACGCCTTATCACGTTCGTGGAGAGATGTCCCAAAACTCTTCATAAGATATACTGTAAAGTGAATTGACTGTGTTTTCTGGGCAAAACGTGCACAAAGTACACAGTCAATCCTCTTTACAATATAATAATAACAATCCCTGATTTGATACAGTCTTTCACGTCGGGAGGACGTCTCAAAGCGCTTCACAGGATATACAGTAAAAGTGCGGTGAGTGTATGTTTTCTAAGGCAAACGCGGCAGCCAATTTACACACATTGATGTCTCCACAACAGTCTGAGAGAAAGTGGCAATCTGACCCGTACCTGCAGGAGCCTATGGATCTCGCTGTTTTCCCCAAACACAAAACACACAGTTACTACATTTTACAGTAAACTCCTGCGAGGCGGTTTGAGACGTCCTGCTGACTGAAAGGCACAGGATCAAAGGCAAACAAAAAAGGGAATTGTTATCTGTAACGGAACTTAGAGGAAGGCATTGGATCATCCAGTTTAATAAGATATCTGGGAGCGGAACTGATTCATAGTCATATCAAATGCAAGGATTATTATTATTATAGAGCTGAACGGGGGTGTGTGTGTGTGTGTGTGTGAGACAGATATCATTGATACGATTCCTGCCAAGTTGTTGTACCGTGTTCAGCCCATGAGAGTCAGCCTCCTTTCACTTCAACTGTGAGAACTGTTTATGTTCCTCTTAACTATCCCTCCATGATTTCCCCAGAGCTTTTGATCCTTAAAAAAGATTTTAAAATCAAAGAAAACTTGATTGTAAGGTTATAATAATAATAATAATAACCCTTGCATTTGATGTAGTGGCTTATCACGTCGTTGAGACCTTGCAGAATATAATATAAAGCGAATTGACTGTATATTTACTGTATATTGTGGCAGCCAATTGCACACAGCAGTGTCCCACAAAGAGTCATGGATTAAACAACCAAATATTTATTATTATTTGGGGGGGAAATTTAACCCCGGAAAAGCGATAAGCCAATCGACTAACAATCGGGTTCCTACTTACTGCTCTGCGAGGCAAACTGAGGCGCGTGGAGTAAGGAAACAGACTAAGGTTTGGTTTTCCAAACTTTGAAAAAAAGTTATGAAACTTTTCCGTAAAGGCTTCTGAGATTTGTAAAGTAAAATGAGACAGCAGGTGGCATTGGATGTGACGTAAAAAAACCAAGGTCCCGTCTGTGCCTGTTCAGGTGGACGTTGAAGATCCCTGGCCAACAATTCACCGGACATGAAAAGTGTTAGATCCGATGTAAATATTATTATTGTAACAACAAAAGCACGTACTTACTTAAAAAAAGCACGAAATGCACGCAGCAGGATTCCAGTCTTTCCTGAACATGCACTCACACACATGCAAGCACACACAACACACGGATACCCACTCACATACATACATACATACACACACTCAACAGCAGCAAAGTAAAAAGCTGGACTGAGACTTTGGAAGTGGAAATCTTCCTTTACGTTTCCTTCCCTCTGCTTCAGGGTTTGTGAGTCCTGTCTGTATGTGGGTGGCAGGAAAACTGCAATCAATTTCTCACGTAACCCTCTCGCTCTCCTGATACTCCCTGTCACAGCACCTCCATCCCTTCCTGTCTCTCTATCTCTCCCTCCATCCTCTTTCTTTCCCTCCATCCCCCCACCCACCCCTCTCTCTCTCTCTCTCTCTCTGTCCCATCGCACAGGCAGGAGAAACACTCATCTAACACTGAAGCCTCTACAACAACAACAACAAGATTCCATTTATAAAGCGCCTTTCACGTCAGGAGGACGTCCCAAGGCGCTGCACAGTTGGGTCATGACCCGAGCAGGGGGGAAATGGTCAGGGTGAGGGAGGGAAGGGAGGGAGCGAGGAGGGGGGAAATGGTCAGGTTGAGGGGAGGGAAGGGAGGGAGCGAGGAGGGGGAAGAGAGTCGAGAGGGGAGCTGAAGGCTCGGTCAAAGAGAAAGGTTTTGAGACCGGCCTTGAAGGAGGAGAGGGAGGAAGCAAGGCGAAGGCACTGGGTTAGAGTGAAGGCACTCTAATTGTAGCAGAGAGCAGCGAAGATGATTCCCAGTGTTAGAGGAATGAGCCGTGAGCCACGATCAGACAAGCTAGGGCTCTTCAGCCTTTGAACGCAACATCTTACAGAGACCTTACACAGAGGAGAGCTTATCGAGGGCAATAGGATAAAGTAAATACACACCCAGGCGCTTCCTAAAGTCCAGCCACTCTGGCATCTCCTCTCCGTTTTCCCCCAACATGTCCTCGCTCATCGGGGATGACATTTGTTTTGTCGTCGCTCGTTGCTTAAGACAAAAGTAACGTCTTTCCTGCCTCACTCCCTCGGGAACAACGCAGCGCAGCTCAGCACAGAACAAGGGCTCTATGATTAACCCCACCCTATCCCACCGGCTCCGTTCTGAGTTCCATGCTGAGCCCAGAGTAACAGAGGCACATTGTGGTGGGAGAGAGTGAGCGAGAGACAGACAGAGAGAGAGAGAGAGAGAGCCCCAAGCGAGGGAGCGAGACAGCTTTACTGTTTAAAATCAGAGATTTTATCAGACAAGAGCATTGCCAAGTCAATACTCTCTCCTCCTCCTCCTCCCTCCCTCACTCTCTCCCATCTTCCTCTCTCGTTTCCCTCTCTATTTTCTCTCCCTCCCTCCCTCTTGCCCCCAAATCAATAGTTCATCGTTTCCATTCACCATTCAGCCCATTATGCCTGTGCGTGTTCCAGCTTTGTGAAGGGTTCTGCGCTCAGTCCTCCCTCCCCCACCTTCTGACACACCCCACCCCATTCCACCACCCCCCCACACCCCCGCGCTCCATAACTGTATCTATTTTCTATATCAGAAGCAAATGTTTACGACACCAAAAATAAAGGGCAACGAAGAATTATTAACAAGATAAATTACTAACAAGAAGGTCCCTTCATCTTTCCCAAAGCACCCTTCCTACTGTTCTCCCATCACAACATCCAGATGCTTTTTTAAATGACTCCCAGGGTCCTAGCCTCAAACACCTCTCCTGGCAACTTTGTTCCACTCGTCAATTCCCTTCCG